TAAACTCTCTGGCTTCAACCAATGTCACATGTTTCCTTCTAATATACCCCTTTCAGGAACAGTAATTTACCGTGAAAGACCCTAAGACTTTAGCCAACAACAAAAGGTATTTATCCTTGTGGTAAACCCAACAGAGTGGTGCCTGTCCCACATGGCTATTCACTTGCATGTTCGGTAATTTCTTCCTAATTAGTACATATTGTCTGCCGCTATTGTGTTCGTATCTCATACTACCTTTTGGGGTGCTGCTATAACACAATCCATATCTCAAGCCCAACCTTCCTAATTAGTTGCCCATTATGTACTCCTTGCTCTTGCAAGGTTCACAACAACCCCAGTACCCGCAATCCAGCTATCTCCTTACCCGGAAGCTTCATCAGTCCCTCTCGCAGTTCCAGCCGGAAACCCGAAAAGGTTGGTCTGCCCAGGATTTAGGTGCCTGAAAGACACCCTCCCTTTGGTTCATACTTTCAGAGCGGCATATGCTCTTTTCTTCTGGTGTGTTAGCCTGATAGTTTAGTTAGTATGTTCTCCTACTTAAAAACCTGATCACTTGGTTCTTCAATTTTGGGCTCTAGTTTAAATTTAGCCTTTCTGTAGTACTATCAAAAATTATTGCTATCTCTGAAATTTTCAAATTTTGATCTGGCCAAGTTGAAAACCAATTAATTAATTTTGTATAGCCTTATTCAGTATATAATTTTTTTTTTAAAAAAAAATAAAACTACTATATGCTATATTTCTAGTTAAGCATAACTATATTACACAGCTATCCTAATACAAATTAACTTTAGATACCATACAAAAAATGCATAGCAGACTTTAATTTTAATTGGCTAACGGCCGAGATCTTCAAAATTTTGGCCTGTATTAAATAATTGTTTTCTAATTTTTAGCCAGAATTAACTTTTTAATTTTTTTATTACAAAAATAAAAACAAGCTCGCATTATAGTAAAATTTGCCCAAGAACAATTTTCACTTAATAGGCGGCTATAATTTTATTAGTAAAATTATGAGTAATTCTGGTCTAACATTTTGATTGTCACTCTTAGCCAATCAAAATCGAGAAAGATCTGCCATGCATTTTTTGTGTAGTATCTAATCAGTATCTAAAATTCAATTTTTAAATTAGCTGCGAACTGCAACCAATTTAAAAAAACGACTTGCGAATTATAAAAATTTATAAAAATTTAGTTGCACATGAATATTTAATTGAAATTTATAGGTAAAATTTGCAAAAATATTAAAGAAATATATTGACAATTATCTGGATCATATTTTTTAAAAAACTTTTTAACTAAAAAACAGTAACATATTGCAAGAAAAATGTAAGACATGGGAAAAGGGTGTAAGAAGAACTACACTTGTTGTTTAGAGGTAGTTCTCATATGCTACTTGCCAACAAGCTTAGAGTTTATTACATATAGCAGCATGGTACTTGTTGTTTAGAGATAGTTCTCATACGCTATTTGCTGACAGGCTCAGAGTTTATCACTCACCGAAAAAACTTAGTACTGTACAAACTTGTGGAACACCTGTTGATGTCTTTAAAACTCACATTCATTTAAAGAAGTGCTAGTAGTCTCTCTTGTGTTTTTCGTTTTTTGCTGTTCTTACCAAAAATTTCGACAAAAAGTAGGCATTTTAGCTCACCTCCTCCAAAAGATCGGCATTGTTTGCACCTATCTAATTTGGATGAACTCAGTAAAATGCAACCATGTGTTTGTTTTGTTTACTCAATATGGTGCTACGGTATGAGGAAGAGATTGTCACCCCCATTTAGAAGATACCCGAATCGAGTTAGTACCCAGAACAAGTCCTAAAAGCTAAACTAAAGGTTTACAATTGAGATATAGTAATTAGTTGTAATTATTATATAATTTTTATCTTTATACCTAGCATGGGCTATAATAGTGTGTCATGGCTACTTTCTTTTTTTTTTGCTTTTTTTATCTTTGTTCATTTATGTTAGACTATTTTAGGAATTTTAGTTTGGTTTTTGTTTTTTTTATTGCTATGAGGCTTTTTTTTTTTCTAAAATGTTTATGTCTTTTGTAAACATGGCTTTATATTTTTACTTTTATGTACAAATAAGGGTTTTATTTGTGTTGTCAAGCTTAGATAGAAGAAGTCTGAAAGAAGAGAAGATAGTCATGACAGGTGGCAAGGTCCACTGTTGAGAGCCAGGTCATATCCAAGTGCAAGAGGGGTCTGGAAGGAGGAAAATCTTGCTATAGCAAGTTAAACATAGGTACCATTGGGGTAACCAGGTTAGTTTTAACTTGTAATTTAGATAATATTAGATTTAATGCTATAGCACTTGTCGTTTAAAGATAGTTCTTATACATTATCTGCTAACAAGTTAAGAGTTTATCACTTACCTTCTTAAATGCAACTTAGTATAAAATTTTACCTGTCTAGAAAACTTGTACAAAGCCTAATAAAGTTAAAGCATGACTGCTGAATTTATAAAAAAAAAAAAAGTTAAAATTTATATGTGAAATCTGCATATGCACTTCAGATTTTGGTTGTGAGAATTGAAAATTTTGTTTTGGTCTGCAAACTTGGCAACCCAATTTCAGATACTGATCCTAATAATAGCTGCTCGATACATAAGTATCGAGGTAGCTTTTGTCTCGAATCTATTTATCTAATCGAACATGTAACAAGCCCAGTTATGGTTACATGTTTGATCAATCGATCATTTCTAAGCATGTAATATTTATAGTTCAATAATCAGTAAGTTGCAATTAGTGATGTGAATATAGTTAAGGTAATTTAGAATCATTAGCAAGTATGTAATAATTGGGTAAGTATGAAGTAATTGAATATGTACGTGTGAGTAAGTATGAGATAATGGGATCATAGTATTTTAGTGAGTATAGAAAATTAATGCATATGGGCTGATTTACAGAATTGCCAATAACTTTTTATATACTGATCTATTTTGAATAATTTTATTACCAAAATGTTGGTCTCGATGAGACGGTTCTAATGAATCCAAAATCGTCAAAATCTAACTACAGAGTCCCAAGATAATTAAAATTTTATATGATTTTACTATTAACCTTTATTATGTAGACAATCATCTAATGAATTGGTTTTATATATATATAAAACCAATTCATTAGATGATTATTTACATAATAAAGGTTAATAGTAAAATCATATAAAATTTTAATTATCTTGGGACTCTGTAGTTAGATTTTGATGATTTTGGATTCATTAGAACCGTCTCATCGAGACCAACATTTTGGTAATAAAATTATTCAAAATAGATCAGTATATAAAAAGTTATTGGCAATTCTGTAAATCAGCCCATATGGTGAGTTAAATTTGTTTTTTTTGCAAACCCGACTTTTGTTCTGGTTTTATCGATCCCTCCCTCCCATCCCCAAAATGATGCAATGTTATTTTGTTTGGCCTGCTGGGACGGCAGTCAAAAAATTGTGGCCTGTTAGGACAACAGTCACATTTATAGATATAGTTGGCTTGCTGAAACATGTGGCCTGTTGGGATGACAGTCACATGTGTAGGAATAGCTTGTCGACTTGACAATGTGTTTTGTAATTAAGTAAAGAAAAAAGAGTAAAAGGAAGTCGATACTCAGAAAAACTGCATAGGTTGCTCGATAGCAGAAGGGCAATACCTGTTTATATTTTTCATGATAATATACTTGTAAATGAGAGACAAAACAAACAGTATACTATATAATCAGTGTTGGCAATTTTTAGCGGCCAACCAATTTTTTTGGCCTTTAGCCAGCCAATTGGTCAATAGCCAACTGGCCAATGGCCAAACTTTGACCAAAGTTTCTAACTTTTACAAAATTAACCAATCATATTCCTAGCTTTGCTATACAAAATATTTGATAATTTTCTTGCCATTGGCTGCGGCAGTTGGCCACGGCCAATGGCCAGCCAAGTGGCCAACTGCATATAATACTAGGCAAGTGGTAATACAGGTTACGAAATCAGTATCTGGTTTGTATCACTCTCCTGCAGAATCATTTCCCACGGTCAATTTTTTTATTAATAACGAATATTACGAATTTATATCTAGACCATTTTCTTATTATACAACATACGTTCCCGTGATAAGAAAAAGTACAAATGGAACTTAAAAGAGCTATAAGGGGAATATGTATAACGTTATTAATCAGTAGTTTTATCGAAATTTATATGTTACTAGGACTTGGAATCTCCGCCATCTCTGAGATCATCAGATCTAAACCTACCTTAAGCGATTGTCGAATCTAAGGGGTTTAATTTCACCTAAAAAAATAATAAAATTCATTTAGTATATGGAACTTACAACCGAAACGGAGTTGCTTTGTTAAGTGTAATCTGGTAGTGCTAAAGTAATGTGATTACTAATTATGTAACTTTTTTTTTCTGGCAGGTTCTCAGATTTAACAAACGCTAAGTATAAAAATAAGCAATTTTTTGTTCCTTGTTGGGTAGGTTATAATATTTTTTGCTCATATATAATATTTTTTCTTAATTCACTTGTAATTTATTTTTAACGTATATATTTGTTTTATATAGAGGGTTTCGACCTACAATTGTTTTCTAGGATGACTACTGGGGCAAAACCTTATTTATTATGATTTTTTATTTTTAGAAACGCAAAAATGAGCAGTACTAATAATTCTAACAATCCAACACCGTCTAACCCAGCACCGTCCAACCCAGCACTACCTAACTCAACACCGTCTAACCCAGCACTATCCAACCTAGCACCACCTAACTCAACACCGTCTAACCCAGCACTGTCCAACCCAGCACTACCTAACTCAACACCGTCTAATCCAAGGTTGTCTAATCGAAGACCTCAATATAGTAATAGAACTTGTAAGTAAATTTCATATTGCGTAATTAAGTTTGTATTTTTCTGGAACGGGTTTTAAGTATTTCTCTGAAATATAATTTTCTGATACATTAAAATCAGATAATGACCCCCTCTACTCTATTTCGAAAGAAGCTGTAGAAAATTATAAAAAAAATGATAACTAAAGTGTTATAAATCCTGGTCATGCAGATGACTATCTATAATCGTACCCTCTATATTATTTTTTTTTTTTTATTATAAAAATTTTTTTTTTATTTGTATATTATATTGTTGTTCGGCAACGATTTTTTATGAAATAAAGAGGGGGTCTGCTGGGCTTGTCATTTTTTATTTTTACGTGATTGTGTAAATGAGTATTGGTCACTATTTATACTGTTATTTGGATTTTTATTAATGTTAAACCATGATCTACTAATGATGTTTATCTAAGCCTGCAAAGCAATTAATAACTTCTTTTGATCAATACGAAAGGGGCAATTAAGAAAATAGTAATTATTTTTATCTAGACAGCTCCAGTCGCCCCATATACCTAAACGAGTATGTACTTCTTTGCATATCGGACATTTAGCTTCCGGATCTGTATATTTAAAAACATCTCGGCACATGCATTTGATTTAGTATATGACAAGAAAGGGAAGTGTTTATGTATTGTTTCACGGATTATACCTTTCTCTTCTGAAAACTTGGAAATCTTGATAATACAATTTTGTAAGATATAATTACTCTCTTCAATTTGTAAGGATTCAGAAGTTTTGGAGTTTATCCAGAGATCGAATCCAGTTTTATTCTTATACCTTTTATATAACCTAGAACAAATTTTATCCGTCAAAATACCTGGCAATTCTGTTAATTTAGCTTCTCATTTCAAATATTCAGGAGTCAATGTTTTATTAGCTTTTGCCTGTGTATCCATATTCCCGTTTTATGTATATGACTCACATCTTTCTAAATTAGAGCGAAGCTCATTGTTTCACAATACAATAACCAACAAAAAAATAAATATGCCTCAGAAGACTTAAGCGAATTGTGCTAGTATAAGTTTAAAGTTCATGCTGTTATCTCAATTTCAATCCCGCGTTGTTCACATTTAAGATTATAAGATCTAGTTTATATCTGCTTTCTATACCATTTTCATCATCATGATCTAACTTGCATAGCAGACATAATAATTTATCAGTAAATCCATAATAATCATCATTTCCATCACTACCTTCTCGATATAAATTAGGATATTGTTTTAATGCTTTATTATAAAAATAAGCATGATTATAAGTTGGATTAGATGGAGATGTAGTTGATTCCTCCTTGAGATCCATGAGATCATTATCACCTACCTTAGTTGGAGTAATTTGAGGTATAGATGGTGTGTTTACTTCAGGCAAGATTTTTCCGGGACGGGCCGTCTCAGAAATTTCAGTTACATGATCCACTTCCATAGACAGCTTTTCCAAAGATATACCAAAATCTATAATCTCTTGAAATTGTGCATCAGTAAGCTCTGAAATGGAATTTGCACTATATGAATTAATATACTTGATCTTATCTAAACCCACTTTTTTGAATAATTTATAGGTTTTCTCGGCTCTCTGAGTTTTCTTACACAAGCTATCCTGTGATATATCCCTAAGTTGTAGCCCCAATTCTTGTGATCTTCGTTTGCGAAGCAAACTAAGCTGTTCTGTAATAGAATTATAAAGTATACTTCTCGCCTTCTTTTCACCAAATTTACCACTATTGCTTCTGATAATCTCATCAAGCTGATCTCTAAAATTCTTCCAATAGAGGCACCAACATAAAATTTCTTCCTGATTAGCTCGATTTGCTCTATCTTCAGCATCAATGGCTTTGTCACATAACTGAGCTAGATGTTGCGAGGCTACATCAATACCGTCATAGGTAACTTTTTTACATGTAAAAACTTCAGTCAAATTATTATGGTTTATAGAAGATGAAGTGTCTGATTCCAAAGAGAGGTTAAATAATTCATGCTTGAGTTCATTCATTCCTTTTTTCTTGTGTAATCTATTACATGGCTGAATAGCCGAGTTGAGATCATGAGATGTTTTCTCTTCAGGTTGTATTAGAAGAGACTCTTGGGCTTGATGCTTTTTTTCTTTATTTCTCTATCTAATATCATCACTAACCTTTTTTTATATACTTTGTTCAAGAAAGCTATTTCCTCACCCTGTTTGCTTTCTAATATTTGCTCTGTAACAGAATTGAAGTTAGATAAACTATTGTTAGAAGAATTAGTTACCTTGGTAACATTACTATTTTGCATTTGCCTATAATCCTCCTCCAATTTCGCAACTCTGGCTTTAAGCTCAGCATTCTCTGATTCAAGTTTAGTAGTAACTTCTTTATTTTTTTCTAACTCCTCGATTCTAGCCTTAAGCCCAGCATCTCTAGCCTCAAGTTTAGCTTTCTCGCGCATAATTTTAGCATTCTCAACCTCTAGATCAATGATACGCTGTCTCAATACTTCAAGCTCGGATGAATTAGCTTTGTTAACTGACATGATCAATAATAATTTTATATATGAAAGAAATTGTTCAATGTTTTAAAAATACCAAAAAATTTTCAGGACGGGCCATTTCAGAAAAATACTATATGTTATTTTGGCTGATCGTTAACCAAGTTAATGGCTTTTGCCAAGAAAAAAAATATACATGCAAAAGTAAACACGATTGTGTATGCAAATCAGCCATCAGGGCCAGCTTTATTGTCGCAGAAAAAATAAAATACATAATAAAAACAAAGATTAATTAGAGTCTACGGTGGAGCTATCTTCCATAGACATTGAACTATTTAGAGGTACACTATTAAGTAAGGACATGTTTACGATCAGGATGTTTTGCATTATTAGCAAGGTCTCTATAAATTTTGAAATGACAGGAAGGTTTGATTGTTGAGTTGGTACTGTCGATTCGTGAAGATGATAATAACGATGCACATCACTATTATCCCTAATAAGAACATTTTTTTTCTTGCTACTTGCATCCCAATAATACCAAATTCACCCTTATCAGATTTACAACCCTTGCGAGTCCAATACATACCATCATTGGTTTCGCGCCACAACTTCACACCATCATCTCTCTCCTTTTTTGCAATTATTAGTAGCTATACCACAAAATATTTTCTGTTCACGTGTTTCTCATTACAATTTTATGCCTCATCACATGACATTATTTTTATTAAACACGATCAACCAATTTTTTTATTTTCTTTCGTCGCTCTTTTACGTCATTCTTTCCGTCGTTCTTTTGGTGATTTTTTACGTCGTTCTTTTGGTGACTTTTATGTTGTTCTTTTGGTATGTTTTTTTTTTCGGTGCTTTTACGCGTTTTTTCAATACTTTTTACGTCATCCTTTTGGTTCTTTTGGTGCTTTTTTCGTCGTTCCTTTGGTGCTTACATCGTTACTTCGGCGCTTCTTTCGTTCTTTTGGTGCTTTTTATATCATTCTTTCGTTATGTTTATATAATTTTTTTGCATGTTTTTTCAACACTTTTACGTTGTTCTTTTTGTGTTTTTTTTTTACATCTTGCTTTTTACATCTTTCTTTCATGCCATTTATATCGTTTCTTTAGCGCTTCTTGCGTCATTTTTTTGGTGCCTTTATTTCATTCATTCAGTGCCTTTTATGTGGTTTTTTTTGTCCTTTTTTTTTGGTGCATTTTATCGTTCTTTTATTGTTTTTATGTTGTTTTCTTGGTGCTTATGTGGAGTTTCCTTGTGGGTCTTGTTCGTTGTTCATTTAATAAAATTTGTATGTAATAATAAATAAATACAGAATAAAA